CCCCAAAACCCCAAAACCCCAAAACCCCAAAACCCCAAAACCCCTTTTATTTTTCATATTTTGAAGAGATAAAAATATTACCATTTAGAATGAGGCATCTTAACTTTCATAGCACCAGTCATGTTATCCTTAAAGGTTCCCATTTTAGAGGATATGTCTCTTGGAGCAGTACCGAAGTGAGCTGAAGGTGCTGTTCTTTTCTTTGAGTTATACTGGCTTCCTACTGCTCCTCTTGTCTCATAAGTCTGGTGTTTGTCGAATCCCTTGATTCCTGTAGCAAACCTTCCTGCTTTTGAAAGAGTCCATCTTGGGTTATTCTTTCTATTGCTGGGATTCACCGATGATTCAGGGGCATAGCGGCCAGGTCCTACTGTCTTAGTAGTCGCAGTCTGATTCACTAAAGCATTCTGATTTCCCTTTGTTCTTCTAAAGCCAAAAGTATACTTTGGCTCCTTTCTCTTTTCTGGTTTATCTTGAGGATCATATCCTGGTCCAGGACTTTTCTCAAAAGCATTCACTTGGAACCTCGGCTCAGTTCCAAACTTGGGGGCTCAAGTTTTCCTTTTCCTATTATGATCTGCATCAATTGGATCGTCAAAGAAACGGTCATTTTCATAAAAATCGAATTTTGGTTTAATTTTCTTCATTTTTCCATCAGTGCCAAAGCCCCAGCCAGGAGCTTTATCATATTTGTTCTTATCATGTGTCTCATAGACAGGCCCTGGAGAGTGCTTTCCTTGGTTGATATTCCTAGCCATTTCCTCACCCATAAAGACCTTGTCTCCATCAGACTTTTTCTGAGTTCCAAATTTAAAATTGGGAGCAGTTTGCTCATATGACAATGGGAGGGTCCCAAATGATGTATGGGCTGCTTTAGAGTCCAGAGCTCTATATATAGCATCAAATCCCTTCATTGTTAATGGCTTCTCAGCCTTGGTTTCACCATCCTCACTCATTTATTCTTCTTATTTTTAAATTAGAATTTCACTTTTTAGATAAGAAATTGGGGTTTTGGGGTTTTGGGGTTTTGGGGTTTTGGGGTTTTGGGG